ATAGGAGTAGGTTGGAAGAAATCTAGGGGCGGCCAGACCAAAACATAGCACAAATCCATGAAGTCACGGACAACTGGACTGAGCCATGTTGGTAGGTGTAGACTACCTGGTTGGGGACCGCGAGACGATAACAATCGATGGTTAATAATGATTCATACAAACAAGGTCCGTCATCCAACTAATTGACTGAAAAGCAAAATGTAATCTTTGAAACTTTTCACGTCTATTTTATTTCTATTCGTCTTAATATATGAAGTCTACTTATGTTCGTATCTATAATTATTACTTTTATTAATATCATTATTGGTCTCTCGACACATTAGTTATACTTTTCATCTCTTCTTATCCTTCTAAACATATATTATTCTTGAACATCTGAAGTCTATAACTAAAAACAAATCATCTCATGATACACTTAAATAGATTAACTTCTCAGATTCGTTTTATCTTCATCACGTATATATAACACATAGAAATTTATATTTGATTATCTTTTGCAATTAATTGTGACTATCATAGCATCATTCTTAATTATTATTTCACAAACATCTATGCTAATATCCGGCTTCACTTTGTATACTATTACATAAATCTAAATGTATTTATCCGAGTGCACTAAAGGATTTATTTTGTTTATTTATTTTTCTAAATTGTTGGTTTACTTCAGAGGTCGATATTCACTACATTATTATTATGATTATTGTCATCATCATGGTTTAAACCTTTCACTGGGTGTTCATTTATATTCTCTCTATTTTCCTTCTAAATAGATATTATTCTTAAGAGTACGAAGTTTGTAATTAAGACGCAAACTTGTGTTACACGTAAATTAACTTCTCAGGCTTGTTTTATCTTCACTATGTATATATAACTCATACATATTGATATTTATTTATTTTAACACATAGATATTGGTACAAGGAGGCACCAAATACATATGCGCCACACAGATCTCATTCGATATATGTGAGAGATGTGATTCTGCCTGGGTGACCAAACCGAAGCAGGTTGTTTTCCTAGAGGGCTACACCCGGAGCCTTCGACCTGAAGGTCTGATCAACGAGGCAGTGGAGCATCGTAAGGAGATGCAGTCCCATGGAAGCTGGTGACCAATAATTGGTTCATACGCCATTTGTTCCCTCAGGTTACTGGAACCTATGTGCACCATTGGTTTGGAATCCGGTTAAATCGCCGGACATTCGCTTTTCGTCCTCTCGATTTCGTAAACAGCATCCCCGCTACGACAAGGCAATGAGTAGGACTTCCCTGGCAGAGGCTATATACGCATGGCCATGTGAGAGCATTTCGAGAGGGAGAGTGAACTCTCCCCAATCTCGGCCGTACCAGGGCATTCGGGGGCATATTGATATTTGGTTATGCTTTTCACTTAATTGTGACTTTCATAGCATCACTCCAAACTATGATTGCACAACGACTTATTCTAGCGTCATATCTTACTGCAATAATAAGTTATTTCTTCTTAACTGTTTTCTATTTTATTTTTGTCACTAATTTGACGGTACATACATAGTCGTATATTCTTGTTCTGTGTTCATAAACACGTCTATTAAACTATTTGCGTATTTCACGTCTCCTTTATTTCTATTCCCTTATTTTCTTCCTTTCCTTCTTTAAACTCAATCCAATATTCTTCACAATTACACAGAGCCTAATTTATTATTGTTCTATTACTATTATTCTCCTTTTCAAATATGGCAAATATAATGCTAACATTATTGAAACTTGTGTATTATTGCATTTTTGAAGAAACCCGAAATGGTTTCTTCACAACACTTATGTACCCATAAGATGTTTGTGAATAATAATAATAATAATAATAATAATAATAATAATAATAATAATAATAATAATAATAATAATAATAATAGAGACCTTGAATGACATGGCTCAAAATCGTTTGGAATGGCGCAGGTGCAGCTACTCTTTGCATTCTCCCAAATTCTAATCTTCTGAATACTTCATGCCCCTTTTTTTCTCTTGCCAAATTTATTTCACTGGATTATACTCCTCGACTAACATCTTCAAACCCTAATCTTTCTGATTACTGCTTATACTTTTACTATCTCTACCACTACGGAATTTGAATCGACAATTGTATCTCTGTGATAATGTAGTATGGGAACTCGAACTGATGTACGTACGTACGAAGTTGTACAATGTTACTGACTGGCTGCAATAGACGGTCCCTGTTATCTGACCTGCGATCAACAAGTTCCAATTGGCCACCTAAACGACTCACTTCTAAGCCTAGACGCCCGACCTGAGCATTCAAGTCTCTGGCTAGTACTATAATATCTATCGAGGCCACTTTCTGTAGAAGCACTGTTAACCGGTGGCGAAACTCATCCTTGATCGCGTCAGGGCTGCAATCTGTCGGTGCCTAGGTGGAGATGGCGAAAAGACATCGTTTCTCACACCGATTCCTACTTACTTTGGTGGAACTTTCTAATCTAACAGCACATAGCCGATCGATCAGTGCTACCTCAGCTCTAGCGCCTCTGCTATACCAACGCCAGCAAAACCAGCCGAAGATGATACAGGGTTAGGGATAAACGCACTTAAACCAAGATTTTCGAAGCAACGAATGGAGAGCGAATTTGTAGTACTTCACTGGGGTCTTGAATGCGTATGTCGGATAGACAGCAGACGTCGGCATTAGGACTTTCTAAAGACATAACCGGCCCTATCTTTTGTCTGATCTGCATTAGTGTGAGAACGTTGAAGGAACCCAGAAAGACTGTTTCAGTATTCGTATTCGGTGGAAGCCTTTGGTCAATGACTCGAGATCGTTTAGATAGGACAGGTTTTCTACAATAGATGAGCTGCTCTATAATTTGGAAAACAAGAATACACAGGGTGAGAATAGAAGAGAGTAGATAAATGATGTAATATACCAACAACAAAAATCAGTGTTACCAAATGGATGTGAATTTTCTGAATTTTAATTGAAGCGAGAACAGTGTTCTCAGTAATTATTGTAACATCATTTTATGTGTGTGATACTGTGTGGGCGCCCAGACGAAGCAGGTAGTTCACTTAGGGGCTGTTTTAAAAGTGAACTGTGTGCAGAAGTGATACTTAAGAGCTCTAATTTTACCGTGACCCTAACTTAATTTTTTCATACACGGTAAGTTCGTCCGTAATTCCTTCAAATGGTTTTACTCTTATATTCTTTGTAGCTATCACCTTCGTTTTCTAAATTCATTCTTTACCTTTCTCCTACTCGTCGAATGGACAGTGGTCCTCCATGCAACTGGTTTCGTTTTAATACTTTCCACTAACTTCTCAGTTGACACGCAACCATCTTGACTGAAGGAGTTGCATAAAGCCGTTGTTTCTTAGTAGGCTATTTTATTTTTTAATTACGACTGACCTAAATAAATGATATGACCGGAAAGAGGATTTTCTTTTCTGAACGGTCTTTAATCAATGCATTTACGTAGGGTAATTCTAACTATCATTTTAATGCTATTAGTATGGGTAGGTGCGCCAAACTGGAATTAGTTGGCATGCATGCCAATAGTAACGTCAATCATGATTGAAGTTATTAAACGTAATATTGCTTCGAAGGGATTTAAGATCAATTTGAGTTAACACAAATAAAATCATCATGGCCGGACCCTGTAAAATAGAACCAGGTAATGTAGAATATTTGTAAGCACAGTAACGAATTCGTCTCCCCACCTTGTCATTATCATCCATTATACAATGTCGGTACCATATGCCTTAAGTCCCTCCTTAATGGGTTCACGGTAATTGTCCGCAAAATTTCCTACCTCATACTTGCAACTTGAAATTCCGCACCGCTAATGTTTGAGCAAACCCAGGTCTTTTGCGCCAGGCAACTTTTATCTGGAACCACAAAGGCTAAGTTATTATTAGTACGACCCGTTTCAAATGTTTCACAACAAAGAACGGCGATTGCCAGCGCCTCAAGTCGGATTATTTGATTTCGTAGGCATTTCAGCACTAGTTTAGTCATTCTAATACAGAAATGGAGACCACTCCCCGTAAGCATACGCCACGCGCAAGTCCTATTTGGTCGCCACAGTGAATTTTAATCCAACCGTTGATGTTAACTGGGATAAGGAACAAGTTCGTTTCACTGCTAATTTTTAGGTTCATCTTTCAAGTTCTAACTCGAGGTGAGAAGTTCTGAACTACGAGTTAACGCTAGTGAGAATCAACGTTGTGGTAGCAGACTGTTATTATGACTTTAACACCACATGAATTTTAGCCACGCAACTAATAACGGATTTTATTCTTCAAATAAAGGAAATTTCGTCACAAGAGGTGACTATGACCCACTTCAGTGAACCAGTGGTGACGAATCGGCTTATGCTGTCCTCGGTCATAGTTCACATGGCAGACACATACCAATCTGTCGAAACTAGCACAAGATGGGTGTGTAATGGTAACAAGTGAAAACCTGAAATTTATATCATGGACTGCTGTCATGCGTGAATACGAAACTCGAAGCAATAAACGGTCCCGTCGGGTCCAACAAACAGCATTTCCAAAGTAGCTATGGGCTACTTGTTACAAGAGCACATAAAATTAGAATATGGATAGATGCTGGGATGTTAATACTGGTGTCTCCGTAATGGCTGTATATCTTGGAGTAGCTGAATTGTTTACTAATCTTGCCACGTTCAATAACAATGGCGCTGTTTATTGTGACGAATATGAGATAACCGAGTTCACACTTTCCTAAGATAAAGAAAATATGAATATTAAGTGTGCGCTTTCATTTTTGGATTTCAATACTATTCTTTCATATAGCCTAAGACTAACAACGAAGTATCCGGGTGACTGTTATCAAGGTGACAATATGCAGTCTTAATGACATATTTTATACACCAGAAACACGTATCCCAACGTTGTCACTAAGCAGTCGATAACATCAAAACACTATATACTAAGAAATTGGTACACGCAATACTTAGATAAGTTTCGTACTGTCCTAGTACAACTTACACCGGAAATGCCATCCGCTTGTTCTTATCGTTATCGAATCGATAAGCTTCGTACAGCTAAACCTAAAATAACAAGTATCCCAACCAATAGAGTTAAACTGAGTCGTCGCGACATATCAACATACATATATATTTATAGTTCTGACTATCGTGATTAATATTACCTCATTAAGAAATGAAGCAAAACGTTGACCTTCAATGCAGAAACGTTTAGTCGATCTGACGTTATTATGGGCAAAGATCAGTAATCGATAGTACGGCAAACTAATCACTGAGACTGAGTTCTAAAAATAAAATTGGGCATTTAGGAAATATAATTTACACTATTAAAAACAAAATATTAAGACAGATAATAGGACTTCAAAATTAACATAAAAAGTTATTTGTCATTTGTAGATGGTGGTCGACTATTAGAACCTCCAGAGGCACCAACGCTAGTTGAATTATCCGAAGGAACATTTGCCACAGTTTGATCCGGTTTTGTTGATATTTGGGGAATAGGATAAGAAGCACCCGTACTACATTGAGGCGACTGGTGGTGTGTATGTTGCTGTGATTGTGGATAGGTTGGAACTTGGGAAGGACCAGAATTAGAATAACCAGACCAAGAATGACCACTGTGTTGATGAGGCGTGTAATGTTGTGATGGTACAGAATAAAAACCACTCGGCCCCACATTACTACCATGGGTATATGGTGGTACAGGACAACCTAGGAAGAAATCAGCGTTAACAACTGTGAGATTCAGCAAAAGATTTGTCAAAGGTTAAGCAATCAGTCACTCACCATATCCCAACAAATGAGCCACAGATTTCTACCCAACTGATAACTGGAAATTGATTCTTTTAATTCAGATCGTAAATACTCCATCAATAAGTAAGCAGTACGGTTTAGTCTAGTTATGACTCGGACTACTTTATTGGTCATCAGTGTTTAATTAGAAAACTCGAAATCAATGGGAAATGTTGGAATAGATTTAAGTTAGACTGGTTTTAGCTGGAGAATTCGAGTCAAAAACCACTGAACAGGAGTTTCGGCACAGTAGTCCGCATTGTGTTTGATTACGGATCAAACCTAGGACTTTTGGACTTCGGAAAGAACCTATTAACGTCATAAGAATAAGTCCAAAGTCTTAATCTCAATTTACGGGTGGTGAAATGTGACGACTACTCAATATTACTAGTTGCTTTACCTTCGATATGTTTGAACTTCAACAGGAGTGATTTCTCACTAGAAATGAGGAGAATTTAGAAAAACATACGTAAGCGAACAATATTGTTTTCGACTAGATCCTCATCATACTATACTCGAATATACAGTAATATTTATGTGAATATACGAAATTATTAAACCAATCAAGGCAGTTTATCAGTCAATGATAACAGTGGAACAGATTACATAAATAAGTGAAAATTACAAGTTGGTAGTGTGATGACAGGTATACTAGTTGTCATAAGAATAATAAAGGCTTGAATCAATGTCAAATAATGGGAAATAGGTCGTATATGCATATAAATAATACTGTATATTAGAGTAAAGCCTGGTGAGGATCTAATCGAAAACAATACTGTTCGTTTATATATGTTGTCCTAAATCACAATACGGGAATTTTTTCAAATTATGAGAATTATCTTAACATTAAGCACTAATGATGACGAGACTGTTGCTTAGGTAGTTGATTGCGGAGATTAGCCCAGTATTTCTCCATGTAAGGTCAGTTCGCAAAGAGAATTATCTCAAAGCTGAACTTCTTTTCGCAATCAGCTAAGGTGAGAACTTGGCGTAGTAGATTACTTACACTTCAATATGAGTGCTAATTTCAATATAAAAAATCTACTACCAATGATAACTGATTAAGGGTAATTTTTAACTTGGTAGATAAAACTTACGACAAAAACATGACTATGTCAAATATATCTTGTTATCAATTACAGGTAAAACTGGACTAAAATGATAAAAAGTGTATGGACAGATTTTATCTTTGATGAGTATAATCTAACACCTGTTTCATAGTAAAATAAAAATTGAAAGATGTACTGAACTTTTAGATAAGTTTTGCGTTGCACATTTTTAGCATATACTTTATACATCGTTATATCAATTCTTGGAGCTACAGACGCTAAGTTAGTTTACAAATATAATCCTTCTGTGTATCTTAAACATCTAAGATCTAGATTATAACAGTTAGTAACTACTCATGCTTTCGAGCAGTCTCATTATTGAGTACGAACAATACTCACTAGTTCTATAAGGGGGTATCATGTATGGCTTACAGCGAAAAAGTGTGAAACTTGTATCAGCATGCTGCGTATAATTTTTATAAGTAGCTTTATAACTTTAGCCATGGTAGACGTTGAATAAGAAAGTAATCTGTGGCTTGGAAAGCTCTCTATCTCATACTGAAACCAGTGTCTATGTATAGGCAACCTATGATTTAATTTATAATGGTTTCAAGACAGTGAAATAATTCAGCCTACTTTACTGAACTGTATAAACACATAGGAAAAACGTCTACCTTGATAATAAATATTGGCTCCTTGAGACTGGTTAGACACCATCTGACCCATACCAACGTCTGCGGAGGACACCGACATAGTAGAGCACGGATGGACGTTATCAACAGATGACAGAGTTTGTTGATTTGGAACGACTGGCTCAGTCTGAGATCCAGGCATGTAGTGAGATGGATGTTGACTCTGAACATAGTCTGGAGGTACTTGTTGTTGTGTAGGCCAATAACTGACGACAGAATTTGGCTGTTGCTGTTGTTGATACGGTGGTGGTGCCGGAATTGGCTGAGAAGCAACAGGACTGTCCTGGATAGAAACAGGTACTGATGAAATATTTTGGTGTGGATGAGTTTGAGGGCCGTGTTGACCAACAAGATAGTGAGGCATTGAATAACCGCTAGAATTGGGACCGAAATTTCTCGGAGTCTGCATTGGGTATCCCACTGAGCCACCTACGACTGGGTAACGGGGAGGACCATAATGTGGTGAATACGGTGGTGGGCCACCATGATGCCAGTTATTTGAGTTATGTTGCTGGGATGGAATATGACTTGAAGTATGTTGAGTGGGACCTACCATCGGTGGGACAAGCTGAGGAACATGAGACTGTTGTGGCATGTGCTGAATATACATTGGTGGGGGAGGTGGATGCTCCGCAGATGGTTGTGGTGGAACTGAATGATACTGTACGGAATTGTAAGGAGTGTGTTGTGAAAACTGAGGGCGAGGATGAGAGTAGCCCACAGGATTAGAAACGGAGACAGGTTGATGATAATAACTGCCAGCAGACAAAGTGGGGTTCGGCGGGTTCCCAATGCCAATTTCGTAGCAGTAGGGTGTCTGCACTGGACCCCCCGAAATTTGCGCTGGAACAACGGGGTTAGCAAGAGCTGGGGCTTGTTGATATTGAGAAGTAATGAGTTGCCTTGATTGGGTTGTGGACCCTTGCTGAAATTCGTTGGACTGTCCAGGAGTCATATCAAAGTCACCAGGTTTAGTCTGATCGACTACTCCTTCGCCAGACCGAGAGATAGGTCGTTCTCGCATATCCTGACTAGTGGTGGTTACAGCAGCATCTTTAACAAGGTCAGAATCAACCTTTTTCTTTTTTGACGACGTTGACGAAGCAGAAGAGGCCGATGAAGTAGAAGATGCAGATGAAGGAACTTTTTTGGTACGGCCTAAAGATACTGCATTTGGTTTACCTGTGTTATTTTGTGCTGCTTGTTGTATATTTGGGACCGGACTACGCTGATGAATTAAAACGGGTGGATTTGCCGGTGTCGCGGCGTTGGGCACATAATGTAATGGGGGTGGATAGTGGTGCTGGGTATGACCGGACTGAGGAAACCTTTGCGATGAACTTTGAGTAACTGGTTGTGTGAATGTATTTCCGATTCCAGCATACAAACCTGGGTTGATTTCATGTCCAATTTCTGAAGCTGCTTTCGGATGATTTGCAGGACACAATAAATTGGCTGAAGCAGAAGGCAACTTTTGTGGGGGTTGTGAACTCGTATCTTCTCTTTTGTCCTAATAAAAACAGTTCACAGCCGATATATATACAAAACATTGACGTAAATCATTATATCCAAAAAAGTGTTAAAATAATAGTTATCAAGAAATTTATCTTTCAAGTGTAGCTACAGAACACTGATTGGACAAAACAACAAGATGTACTGAGCAGAACAACCGATGAACACGATATAAACAGAAAACAAAGACGATTTTATAAACATTCAGTCCGAGTCATTGATACTGTAATAAGTCAATATATTATTTGTTTTAAAAACCTAAGAGGACCAATTAACTGACAATAAGGATGCATATAAAACACAAGCAAAGACTAAATAAAGGTGTGCACATGAAGTTTTAAACGATCTACAATAAAATATATTCAGTATCACTAAAAGTTACCACCATTAATGTGTCGCAAGTAAGTCGATCAAATTAATACATAAACAAGAGAAGCAATTCGTGTTGGGGAATACTAGTCCCTCGAATCAAATAATGAGAATCTCGAAAATTGAATTTAGTGTATGATACCATATTCCCAAATGCCCTCGTACGGCCGAGAGTGGGGAGAGTCCACTCTTCCTCTCGAAATGCTCTCACATGGCCTCTGCCAGGGAAGTCCTACTCATTGCCTTCTTGTGGCGGGGATGTTATTTACGAAATTGAGAGGACGAAAAGCGAATGTCCGGCGATTTGACCGGGTTGGTGGACATGGAGGGTCCACCTAGTGAAGTTGGAAAACCATGATTCCAAACCAATGGTGCACATAGGTTCCAGTAACCTGAGGGAACAAATGGCGTATGAACCAATTATTGGTCACCAGCTTCCATGGGACTGCATCTCCTTACGATGCTCCACTGCCTCGTTGATCAGACCTTCAGGTCGAAGGCTCCGGGTGTAGCCCTCTAGGAAAACAACCTGCTTCGGTTTGGTCACCCAGGCAGAATCACATCTCTCACATATATCGAATGAGATCTGTGTGGCGCATATGTATTTGGTGCCTCCTTGTACCAATATCTATGTGTTAAAATAAAATAAATAGATTGTTTACTGATCCCATCGTAGTGCACATGAAACAAGACTTGCAGATGTAGTAACCACTCCTTAGATTTGTTCAAAAATATCAGGAACCCATCACAAATAGCTCTCAACAGTCAGGTGTTTTTAACGCTGGTAAATTTATTCAAAGTTTGTCGTAGTGCGTTGTCTAGAAGGAAGACGAAAGCTTCACGACTAAACCAACCGACTCAGAGAACGAAACCCCACCAAGATGAATAGTATCGTAAACTTGTTTGCTACGTTCGATAACATCCAAATGTCGACTTGTATACCAGACAACACTATAATAGCTGACGGTGGACTAAGTTTTGTTAAAAATGATTCTGGTAACAATTTTTGACGTTTAGACTGTTTGGAAACCCTAGGCCACTGTTCATTAAGCCGTTTGGTCGTTCATGGTGGACCATGCACGAGAAAATGTTAATTCTGCTTTGTACTTCAGGACTATAGAATTATGTGAAACTACATTAATGCTGTTATCAATTTAAATCATGATTTTGTCCTTTTGCTTTTACAAACAGGTGTTTACATAAACGGTAATAAGTCTACCGAGGACATTAAAGTGGACATAGATGACCAAGCAATAAAACCTTCGCAATTACTGGATGGATCTGGAGTGCCGACCGATTATTACTATGACTTGGAGGGCTGGTGTATGAAATCAATAAACAAATTCCGATCAAACAGTAAACTTCATAGATGGATGAAGCAAAAAGAATTTTGATGAACATTTACCTATGGTTACAGAAAAAAGACCTGAAATATCTTCTGGAAGCCAGATGTTATTTTCAAAATGTTTGGTAACGGACCGGTTTTTTTATGTCTGGATACCCTAAAACAGCTTTACTTGGAAACTAGAGCCAAGTTAACAGTCAACGACAGGTAGGTAAATACCCGAGGTGTACGGTTATAACGAAATTAGTTAGGTTGGAAACAATGAAGGTAAAAATTCAGAATGATTTTGATAAAATACCTGTGTTATCAGTCTTTCTAATGAGCGGTCAATAAATTGAATATTCGGGTCATTGTGCGGTGGGGCTGCCTGATTTGGTCTCATATGAACTTGCTGCAACTGTTGTTGATGTAGTAATTGACGTCTGCGTTCAGATTCCAGTAGCTCTGCTTCTCTCTGCTGCCGCTGCTGTTGACGCTTGCGTCTGATTTCTAATTCCGCCATATAACGAGTCTTACGCTCCTCTTCTTCACGCTGCATATCGTACTTCGCTTTAATTATCATATCGGCAAACTGAGACTCAGTGATAACTGGTCTTGCTGTCGTTATTTTTTGATAGTCTAATCGAAAACGTTCAGATTCTTCACGAATGCGCTGCACTTTGGCTTGATGTCTTGCTTCGCACCCTTCAATCTCTTGACATAAATTGCGCTTGTGGTTTTTCAGTTGCTCTACTTGCAGACGCAGCGTGTTAAGACGGCTTTGGGTGATTAGTTGACCAGGATCAGGGAGTCTCGTATCACTTAAAACTTCTTGCATGAGACGATGGTTTCTCTGGAAACGAGCGGCTGCTACATGCTTCGCAGTGAATTGGTCTTCAGTATCTATGATGAAAAGAAACATTCAAGAAAAAGGTTTTGTTCGTTATATCTAAATAATCGTAATATTTACAAGGTCTGATCATGCTCACGGACATTGTACACATACAAACTATCGATCATTCATTATCAACGTATAGCCTGGCACAAATTTTATGTTAGACAAACTGCCATGATACATTAGCACAGAATCAAAAACAGTGCTTGAAGGAGCTAACGTCTGGTCTGAGTCATGTCAGTAGATGCAGAATACTTGGTTGGGGTCACGTGACTATCGTAACCAATAGTTGGAGACTCTGGATGACATGGCTCAGAATCAATCACAGTGGCGTAGGTGAATACACTTTTTGTCTTCCCTTAAACCGTAAAACTAAAATCGCTTTCTATCTTTCTTTCTACCAACTAATTCTTTCTTCCTGTACTATATACTTATATGCTATCTTATGTCATTACTCCTATGAATCCAGTGTTTATCTTGCCGTGCTAATGAGGTATGGCAACTTGGACTGATGCATATATATGCCTGGTCCTACGTTGTAGCTGACTGACTGAGTGGAAATTACCTTAAGTTGGTGGTACAGCTTGCATATGGTGATGACTCAATCGAGCTGTATTAGTTGCAACGTCCAATCCCTAGGTCCTACCACGTCAGACAGAATGGTTTGAGAGCAGATGAAATAAAAGCAACAAAGTAAAGGTCTGAGGGTGATATCGTACGACTAACCATCTAGGTGTAATGATAATAAGGTGCTTTACTTACACAATCAGTACCTTCAGCGACGCTCTCTTCTCAGTGAAAGAAGAGGACTACAAAAGTTCCACCCTAAAAACGACACACTATATTGCCCATTGGTTTTTCACTGACGGCACGAGGTTTGAAACGTACAGATTCAACACATTACATTACTACTAATAGTAATATGTTACCACGTGAAATCGCTTTTTATACTTTGACGCTCATATCCAATAATGTAATTTAAATCTACGATATAAGCAAAGATTACCTTCTTCGTTATCTTCCAGTATATATGACTCCCTCAAATCACCCTGAGGAAGTTCATTCCCACGATCTCTCGACCTTAAAATTGATTGCCTGCGCCCTTGGTCTTGTTCTTCCATGCTTTTCTCAGCTAAAAAATAATAGTGGAAGTTATTAAAATACAATACCTCTTTCCTTTGCTACCAACCAAGCCTGATATGCTGGCGAACTATGGTACTGCCGTAGTAATTCCGTGTATTGGGTTTTCTCGGCATCGTACTCTTCGACATATAGTATTTTTTCATCATCAGGGAGCTCACGCCACATTTGCCCAATAATTTTCCCAACCTCCCACAACTTGAGATGTGGATTCGAGTTTTTAACTTGTTCCCAAACTTTTCGGCTGTAGCGCATATACGGCATTAATGGTTTTTCAGGAGGTTTGGGAGGTTTAGGGACACGCATATCACTCTGAGGTACCATTAGATAATAAAGAATAATACCTTAGAATTCATTCTAATGGTCTGGAATGTACTATTATTATGTGGAGATTGAAAGTAATATGACTTAGCTTCCTAAAAATTAAAACAAAAAAAACGTAAAGACTACCTTACCATTTTAAAAATAAATACAAAACTATGTACTTTGAGTGAGAACTAGTGGGTCTATTATATCCGTTGAATCTGAAACGAACTATGGACCTGCATACAATCACGATACAAGAGGTAATAACGGCCAACACGCTAAGTGGACAGAATGCTATTGCTACGTTTCTATACAAAGCACCTACTAGACTGAAAGTTTACTCAGCTGTGAAGTTTTAGGGTGCCAAATCAAGAAACGAGTGAATTAGCTTGGCAAGAACAGGTTCTATTTAGGGTCGACCGTTAACAAATACAGGAGTGATCAGTATCAGAACTCCTGTCGTTTTTAGGCTTGTCTCATTACAATGTACAAACCTTTATCCTAGTAAGGTAAATCCTATTGAATTTAGTGACATACAAAATCAAGGAATAACTACGATCAGTCTTGTACCACTAAACGTATGTTACAACAGCTTGCCATATCTATACACGAATATGCCAGCGAATCGACGATCAATGAACGAACTACAACTACTAGAAACAAAGCAGTGGATGGCTGAATCAAGAGAAATGATTTTTCATCCTATCGTAATCGTATAAATCACTAGAGAGGCGTCTGTAAAAGATGAAAATCATGATAACAAAGGATTGTTCTCATTTTTTTAATTAGATCATGATTAAGATCGTGGCAACACCACACAATGTAACAGACTTACGTCCTCTTCTTAAGCTGTCATAACGCGGAGTTTAGGTGATGCTCGGAAATTAGGGCACAACACAGTAGACTAAACTGGAGGCACACCTCTTCACGAGTAGTAGTGTTAGAGTTTGCTGCCTGACAAGGCAGTCCAAAAAGCTTGCCATTTCTTCTAGTGTCAAATGTAAATCGCTCCCAGCTTGAAGGAACCGGTGACATAATGCTGCTAAGTACGGAAGTCATCTAATCGGAAGCCCCTCTAGTTCCATCCACAACTGTTTGAATGAGTCTGCACTAAGTGACACAGGACGTGATTTGTGGTTTGCTCAGTATAATATAACTGCTACACTTCACAGTCAGCTTAATACGATGTGTCTAGCGTTGGAGGTCAAATTGAGGTTAAATACTACAAATCCGGAATGAAAGTAGCATTTAATCTACGGACCACATTAGTCACTTACCAAACGCTTCTAGAATAATTCGAGCGACATCACGTACGTAAAGACGATACTCAAAGCAGTGAAATCTGAAACCGCAACTTGACTGGTACAGTCAAAATGTCGCAACTCTGAATCAAAAGCTGGTAACACAACAAAGATTACGCAGCTAATTATTTTCGAGCTGATTTTGAATGTATATTTGTCACGCTAACATTTATAATAGACATTTATAATACTGTATGTCAAATGGATCTCTGCTGTGGCCAAGAACTTATGATGAAAACCGTCATTGACAAAAAATCAAGTAGTGAGCTTATATATATATATATATATATATATATATATATAACTATAAGAATGATAGTGTTACAAGCGTGTCGACCGAGAATGATAGAATACCAAGAGCCTCGGACACGAAAATGAAAGCTATGTACCGCCACAATGAGATGAGAAATAGGTGATTTAAACAAGACATATAACTTTACAATGAACTGAGTGACTCACCCAAGGGATTTTAGATGTGTTCTGACTTGTGAAAAGGTTTATACAGTCACAGAGTGGGACTTTGCCGGTATGATTTTGACAAGTTGGTGTTGGCAGTGTTGAGTTGTGTGCACTGGATTAAAATAATTACAATAATTCTGTTATTTCTGCACCTGACATCATTGAAGTTCATTTTAAGTTGAAACTAGCATCAGAAGAAGGAACTAACTGAAGGATTAGGCAGAAGAGATCAATGGAAAGATCTTGCTTAATGCAAATTTTTGTAGTCAATATTTAATAGTGTTTTACATCTGTTCATTTAGATCTACACGGATTCACGTGCGGCGATGTATCGCCCCCCTTAAATCTTTAAAGCCATAACATCTGTGGTAAATCAGCTTCTAAAGGCCAGGGTTGAATCGTATCTCAGAAAGATCTTGTGATAAGTTCATTTCGCGTATTTCCAAATGCGTTGTAGCGGTAAATAAATCTCCAAAATAAATAGTTCTGTAAGTTTTCGACATCGGATGCTGACCACATTAGTTTTAATGGACTCACCTAGCTGAAGGCGCTCGGTCATGCATCCCTATCAGATCATGAGTGTGAACGCCGTGCTCAGCATCCCTTGCAATCGCTAGCCATTCTAGATCAGTCGATCCTCGATATATTGATAGCTATCAATATATCTTCGAACCTCCTCGCTTCCGTCTTTTGATTACACTTGGTGGGTGTTGCCGGTTTTTCCAGTCAGAGAAAAGCCTCAATCGCCACCGTATAACATGACGGAACTGTCATACGCTTACAGGTTATCTTAGATTTCGTAACGACTGTAAACGGTCACATACCCCGCGAAGAAGCACTTCAGGTAGGTGATCCCTCTCTAGACTACGAAGGTTGGATAACCCCGACTGGTGCTGATAACATAACGAGTATGGAAAGTCTTCCAGAAATTGCAGAAAACCCTGCAATTTTCCCAACAGGAAACCGACTGACTCGATAAACAACTCGGGAAACTTCCAAGCCGGCACGCGTTAATTGCAACTCTAGCCGGCAAACATAGCCGTCTCTTGTACGTCAGAGATCTGATAACAAAAGTTCGCTACCTCGTCGATACAGGCGCAGAGATTAACGTTCCTCCTGCAAATTCTAACGTCCAAGTTCACGAAACGGCTTCAAACGTACGGGCGGCAAACGGAAAGCCAATCGCCACATATTGTGAAAGGTACGTTTACCTTAACGTAGGTTTACGCTAACCCATTCGCTGGATCTTTGTCGTTGCCAATCATTGGTATAGTCCTGCTACAACATCACAATTGACTCATCGATACTCACAAACGGAGGCCAGTAGACGGAAACACTATTTTGTGTGTTAGCTTGACCTCTTTTTCTGGTTGCAGATTATCTCCCATCACATTTAGGCACACGATAGACCCATTCTATCAACCTTTGCTCGATAAGTACTCTAGGATATACCAATCGCAACCGAAATTACCGCATGTAACCAGCAATGTTGCACATCACATCACGACTACAGGATCACCTGTATTCTCGAAAGCACGCGGACCGGTTCCCAAAAAGCTGAGGTTGACGAAAAACGAATTCTACCACATGAAAGAATTAGGAATCATTCGACCGTCAAACCGCCCATTGGCATCTTCGTTGCACATGGTCCCTAAAAAGAACAGCAACGATTGGCGTCCAACTGGTGATTATCGGCGATTGACTGCGAAAACCATTCTCAATCGTTACCCGTTACTCCACATTCCCGATTTGACAGCTACCTTGAAAGGTACAATTATTCGTTAATGAACTTGGTTGAAGCTCATAACTGAATTCCCATGGCCACTGACGATATTCCGAATACCGCTATCATATCTCCTTTTAGACTTTACGAATTTTCGCACATGCCTTTCGGCCTAAGGAATGCTTCGCAAACATTTCAGATCGTGAAGCTGCTTACAAAAGTTATCACTGATCACACTTTACAGCTTTTTTCTACAATTCAAGTATAAATTCCTTAACTTTCTGATTGTCCTGACGACTAGTTTTATGAAAAATGATGAACTTACAAAGAATTCTCAAAATAGAGCAATTTAAGGTGGATCGAACTAGATGAGCACATATGAACGTAATATATTTCTACTTCATAGCCAGAGGGCAATTAGGTACAAACGAATCACTAGTCCATACAAGTACCACGGCAGCGTTTCTTAAACTGATAGAAATGCAAAAAAGTATGTAGAATCCTAAGAGAGTGACGACAGTGGTTTTAGAAATGTCGTCTGAAGCCATATGAATTCGTTTATACCCCTTACCAGGTCGATTTTCCAAAAAAAGTAATAATGAACTTATCTATGCTACTAAAATGATAGACCAATACTAATACTGTGAAGTTTACATGATTCGACTAGATGATTCAAAATATCTTGTGGTATTGTCGAGTCTCAGTTTACTATGATCACCACTACAGATCGATTATATGACAATTACCAGGTTAAATCCTTCCGTACGATAAATATTAGAAGAACAGTTGTAGATTGTAATTGCGAATCTCGTGGTAACGAAATAATACCGAGATCGTGCCAAAATGTACAGGCGAGACTAATGTGGGTACATGAGTAAATTTATGGTCAAAAACGACAGAAAACGTCTGTTTTTTGGTACAGTTAAACAAAAATGTACAGTAAAACAATCACTGGTACAGCTGGTTATAATAATAAATGTTTCCATTACACCAATCGCGTTCTCTTTATAAAAGTATATCACTACATAGTCATGAAATTCGTCCAAGTAAATATTTTATATAATATTCTCACAATAACGAAAAGTTTTATCGGAATACGCAAAATGCCTGTGCGATGAGGCTCAACTACTAATTATTCGAAATTTCATATGATACAAAGCAACATACTAGCAAAAAGGGGTAATAAACTCAACTGTTAAGTACCAGTTCTCTCTTTTAGCAGCTAGTTGTAGATGTCATGGAGCGGTTCTTGACTGCCAACCAAATCACTTGACGATGAGCTTTCGTTGGTGATACAGTAGGGAAGAGTCTTCATCAGATTGGTCATAATTTAATCAACAAGAGCACGTATATCGTACAGCGGTGATAATATTTGAAGAAGTAATATCGTGACTAATTACGTTTCTTATCAGGGAAAATATGTGAACATATGAAATATTCCAGAGGGTGATGATTTGGTCGCTCGAAAATATAACCAAAATATCTGGACTGTCACTGATTATCCGTGTTGCCAAAAGTTTGGTAAGCAAGGTCAGAGTTATCTTCTGCCCTACAGTTTCCAACGAAACATTCATCCACCTAAAGAAGGGTAACCGAAAATCAATGACGATTTTTTTATTGACAAAGTTAAACACATCTATATTGTACCAAAAATGTAATATTGAATAAAGCTGATAATAATAATAATAATATATTGCCGACAAGAAATATGGTTTTATGTTGACAGACGTGCCAGAGTGCGTGATAATGCCTACTCAACGCAAATGAAAAAGGTAAAAACAGCAATAGCCATGCCAGCTACTATCTTACCGAGACATATAACACTAGCAAATCAAGATATAATTTTAGTGGACGGTTCCAATTTCGTTAAGAGTCAACAGTCAACATACCTGCATCAATCCTCAGAAAAGATTTTATGCCTTTAAAGTGTTGATAACAAAACAATTAAAGAATGCTTACTTACTTACGCCTGTTACTCTCAATGGATCATAGGCCACCGACCAGCATTCTCCAACCCACTATGTTCTGGGCCTTCCTTTCTAGTTCTATCCGATTGTTGTTCATTCTTTTCACGTCTATCTCCATTTCCCGGCGCAATGTGTTCTTTGGTCTTCCTCTCCTCGTTTGGCCTTGACGATTCCAAGTGAGGGCTTGCGTTGTGACGCCGTTGGTTGCTTTTCTCAATGTGTGTCCTATCCACTTCCAGCGCTTCTTCCTCCACTGGAATCTGGTTTGTCCTCTCCCATAGTAGTTTGTTGCTGATAGTGTCTGGCCAACGGATTCGAAGTATTTTGCGTAGACAGCTGTTAATAAACACTTGTATCTTCTGAATGATGGCTTTTGCAGTTCTCCAGGTTACCGCGCCATACAGTAGAACTGTCTTGACATTTGTATTGAAAATCCTGACCTTGTTGTTGGCTTGTAGACGGTTGTTTTGAGTCCCAGGTGTTCTTGAATTGAAAATATGCTGCTCTTGCTTTGCCGATTGGCGCTTTCACATCTGCATCAGACCCACGATGTTCATCAATGATGCTGCTGTAAAGGATTTTACATCTTCCAAATCTTCTCCGTCAAATGTGATTCGATTGTTGCATGCTGAGTTGCATCGCCATAGTGTCGAGGAAGTTTCCATGGTGTTTTCCTGTCCACGCTGTCAAATGCTTTCTCGTAGTCAACGATGTTGATGTAGAGTGTGAATTCCATTCAATTGATTGTTCCACAGTGATCCGTAGTGTTGAAGACTTTTCCCAGTATTGAGAGAAGAGTGATGCCCCTGTAGTTATCACACTTGCTGAGATCGTCTTCCTTTGGTATTTTGATCAGAAGTCCTTCTTTCCAGTCTGTTGGTACTTGTTCTTCATTGTAAATCTTATTGAAGAGAATGTGGAGTATCCGTGCATTTACTGCTACATCTGCTTTCAGGGCCTATGCTGGAATGTTGTCTGGTCCTGCTGCTTTGCCGCTCTTGATTTGTCCGATGACCATGCTGATCTTGTCAACTGTTGGTGGGCCAACATCTATTTGGAGATCCATGGGTGCTGCTTTGATGCTAGGTGGATCCAGTTGGGCTGGTCAATTCAAGAGTCCCTTAAAGTGCTCTACCAACCTGT